ATATATATATATATATATATATATATAGATATATATATATATATGTATGTATATGTATATGTATATATGTGTGTGTGTGTGTGTGTGTGTGTGTGTGTGTGTGTGTGTGTGTGTGTTGTGTGTGTGTGCGTGTATATACGCATATATGTATGTGTGTGTATCTATATATATATATATTATATATATATATATATATATATATATATATATATAATATATATATATATATATATATATTATATATATATATATATTATATATATATATATGTGCGTGTATGTATATATATATATATATATATAATATATATATATATATATATATATATATGTATGTATATGTATATATACATGTGTGTGTGTATATATATATATATATGCATGTGTATGTGTTTGCGTGTTTGTATGTATATGTGTGTATGCGTGTGTGCGTGTGTATGCGCGCGCGCGTTTGTATGTATGTATACACAGGTTTGTATTTGTTTATATCTATTCATCATGTATTTATTTGGTAATTAATTTACTTTATTTACTTAATTACTTATTTTTCATTAATTAATATATTAATTTATTCATAGACATACATGCATCATACTCTCACCCATTATTGGCTGTGACATATTGGAAGACCAGATGATCCTTATAAATTTGCATACGTAGGCACTCTAGGAGAGACAATATAAAAGAAAGACAAAGCAAATGAGTTCCAGCCGACTAATAATATATTCGATATGATAAGAAAAGAAAATAAGAAAAGCATCAGACTGAAAATTGATCCTCACCTGTTCAACCGACCGTTATTTTTGACACAACCACAAAAGACATTATTTTCAATCACACTCACTTATTTCATCGAGAAGTTGCAACATTACTGGCTTGTGTGTATAGGAGATACGTTGATGTATATTCCATAAGTATGTCTACGTATTTCTGAAGCTTGGAAAGAATTGCCAATGAAAGAAAGCAAAGAGGAAGGGGTATCCAGTTACTTAAATGAAGATGGCGTGAGATCAATGATAGTGTAAGATCGTAGTAATAGTAATTTTACAGATATGAATAGCACAGGTCTCCATTCATATTCAAAGGAAGCGTTTCTACAATAGATACAAAGATGGCGAGTTCATCAGCGCCTTCGAGTAGACAAATTAAGACGAAGCGAGAAAAATCATGGCGGGATGAGGAAATATCTCATGCGTGCTTCTTGTGACGTCCGAGGCTTCCCTGGGTTGAGTAAGAAACTGTGTTTCACACGTCTTGAATTCCAGAAGAAAGAGTCACATTTTCATTCAAATAAGTGACCTTTTTCAACATGTTGGATGGAAATTACTAATTATAGTCTTTTGTATGTGCATGGATTAAGGCGTGTATTGGGGTAGAAAAATCTGAAGACAACTTATATGATTTAGCGCAAAGTTCTAAAAACCTCTGTCTAAAGTGCAAACTTGGAATGCCTCACCTTTGAAGAATGTACCTGAAGAACTTGGGCACGAACTTCTTTGTCAAGTGTATTCTTCATCAAACAATCCTGCTCATCCTGTATCGTGTTTTTAAGCCGGTGTCGCCACCCACAAAGTTATCTAACCGTCCTTATCATCCTTTGCCTATCCCTCCCTTGCTCTCTGTCTATCTGCTTATCTGTCTATACATCTATCCAGCTATTTATTTATCTCGCTCGCTCCTTTTCCTCATATTTTCCTCTATATCCTTTTATCTCTTTTTCTCCTTGTCTGTCTTCCCTTCTAGCTTCTCTCCCTTTTTTTTCTTTTTTTTCTTTATTCCTCTCCCTATTCCTCAGCTCGTATTTACCAGTGTCTTCCTTCCAATTATGTCTCCTCAGGCTCGCAAACCTTCGCAGTTTGTGTGCCTTCATGATGCTGCTGGCCTTGGAGCGCTATGAGGTCATGCCTATGTACTGGCTCGGAATCTCCAGTGATTTTTCATCTGGCCAAATCAACGGTTGAGATTTGAGGTGCGCAGTTTAACCGCCAATAACCGTCGTTTTCTGAGTTCAAATTCTTTTACTTTAAAAACAGAAATTGCTTGTTCCTATTTATTTGTTTTTTAATTATTACTTATATACGGCAACATGAGTAAAGGAGAACTAAACAATAAATAAATCGAAGATCCCGGCTTTGGGTGGCCCGGGGGTCGTGATACTGCAAGAGGGTGTGTGTGGGCGTGGGGTATGTCGGCGATGACCCCTGGACAACGCCAGTCCTTCGCCCTCACCCACCCTGGCTCTCGCCCATCCCAAATCCTCCTCACGAACTTGTTCTACGACGCCACACTTCATCTGTTGTTCTCTCTCGGTTTCTGTTTTTTTATTCCTCACTGGAAAACATGCGTATCTACATACAGTGCGTGGATATGTGAGTGCTTCTCCCCTTCTTTTTCTTAAAAAAAACAACAGAGAATTGTCGTAAAGATTATAGATATATACGCACAAACAACACACAACAGTAAGCAAACAAAAACAAACAGTGCCCTCACTAACACTTCCCCCAAAAGGTGATGTAAGCCATTGTCTACAACACCAAAGAGTGGATGTGCCGATACATACAGTATTTCCCGAGTGTCCATTGTTTGGATGTTGTGTTGGCGGGGGGAGGGGGGCATAGGGTTAGTGCGCAGAATACTATATGTTGATGGCCGCGTTCCATACTATTACTTTTGATATAGTAACTAATGGCAACAAGTCACTATCTAGTAACAAATATATATGATTATATTTTATTAATGATATCACAATTATCATAATTGTTAGTATATATCTAATATTAATATATATGTTCATATCTGTTTCTTGTCGTTGCTATCAAGGTCATCATCATTATCATTATTGTCGTAATTTTTATTGTTGTTGCTTCTTTTCTGTTGATATTACTCTTATTGTTATTATCATTATCATTACCATCATTATTATTATTTCTTATCTTATTAGTAATATCATTATTATTATTATTACTATCGTTATTATTATTATCATTATCATTATAATTATTACCATCATTGTTATTTTTGTTGTTGCATTTAAGTTGCCGTTGTTCTTGCTATTATCATTACAATCATTATTCCCGTAATCTTTATTATCATCATTACCATCATCATCATTATCCGAAATGTTGTTATTACCACCAGTATTCCTCCTGCGTGCCTCTACCCTGGTAGTAGGTTTCCCAGTACCTGGTCACTATGACTCATTCGAGCGTGGACTGTAATTTAATGATTTAGGCGGCCTGCACAGGTCGGGCCGCTTTTTCTGCCCCTTCGCAGTTTCTTCAGCCTTGGGTGTCGATGTCTGAACTTTGCCAGAAGTTCATGACGCAACGAGGGCAGTTACTTCGTATGTGTGTGTGTGTGTGTGTGTGTGTGCGTGCGTGCGTGCGTGCGTGCGTACGTGCGCGTGTGTGTGAGTGAGTGAATGAGTGTGTGTGTGCGTGTGTGTGCGCAGACAAACACGCACGCACGCACGCGCACACACACACACACACACACACACACACACACACACACACACACACACACACACACACACACACACACACACACACACACACACACAACATTTCGTCTATTCTAGTGGTCGCGATCACTAACATGAATAATTTTCATTCACTCTATGAATGTCGTTATATCTATTACTCTCACACACAGCGCTGAAGGCCGCGCGGATCACTCGCCTCGCACCAAATTACGTATCTCCGCGTGCTTAATTAAGACTTGTTTACCAGAACGAAGACTATAATTGCATTTTTCTCGCCAGCTACTCGACTCCGCGAAAGATTTTGTGATTAGGAAGAGCTGCCTCGTCTTGAAAGAGACAGAAAAGGCGCTTGTATTTTTATTTTGTTTTCCACTTTATGGGAGGTACAACATTTGGCTGAATTCCATAGCAACAGAAATGGCGTGAAGTGCGTGCGGAGATTTGGAGTCTGGTCATGCAGAGATGGGAAGGCTGGTGCATGAGAGGTTGTTGCAGGATCTCGCATTCGTTTAAAGTAGTTAACTGTACTTGTATTTTGTATCTGAAGCCGTATACATTTTGGCTATCGATTTTGTGAATACTCGGGAAATAATGTAATGTTCTCTCAGAAAAAAAATATAGTTGCGATGTGACTGACGGAGGATGTGGTTGCCGCTAGCTTTACGAAGATATTCAGCAAATTATTACAATGAGTGGAGATTTTTTGCATATCAATATAATGAGGCAAAAAATCGTGCGCCCTCCTACATGCAGAATATTGCAATGTCGGAGTCTTTAGATATCTTGCAATGATGCACCTCATCAAGTATACTCATACTAACGTAATGATATTAATAATAGCCGCTCTGATGGTAATGATATGGTAATATCTATTTTGACGGAAATGCTTCTGGTGGCTGCTCAGCATAGCGTAACGAAGACTGAAAAATTGTGTTATTAGCAGTAGTCCTTTGCTCATTTCTTAAATTTCTCATCCATTACTGTTATTGTCATCGTCATATTCAGTATTATTTTCTTCATTGTTAATCATCTCCATCATTACACTGCGACGGCTAAAAGGCATTCGCATATTTTCTTTTGCGAATATTTTGGAATCCAACGCCAATCTTCCAAGGGACACACAAAGACGGCGCCCCCGCCCGTGGGTGAACAAGCACTTTTGCCGTGAGTAATGGCTCGCACTCTCTTTGTCTTCCTTTCCTTCCTTTCTCTCTCTCTCTCTCTCTCTCTCTCTCTCTCTCTCTCTCTCTCTCTCTCTCTCTCTCTCAATTAACAAATAACACATATAGACACACCAGACATACGCGCAAAAAAGAGAATACGTAAAATAAAGAAAAAAATAGAAAATAAGGAAGAAAAATATATGGTTGAGTGACTGTGTTCCATATACGTTTTTCTGTTTACATTCTTGGTTATCATAAACAAATCATATTAATGTTTTATTTTCCTTTTTTATGTTATGAATTGAAATTTTTTTTACTGTCCTTTAATATTTTTAAAGTATCGTTTTACAAAACATTTTTTTTTCTAAATTCCAGAGGCCAAGGCAGGGAAGGTCAAGACAGTTGAAGAAAGTAAGTACATTAAACTTTCAAAATAACATTATAAGTAGATTTAGAAGGGTAGTTATATATACTGTGCATAATATAGCGAGGGCGTGCAGTTTAATGAATAGCGGATCTATCGGATTCCTGTTAAACTGTAGCGCAAGTGTATCTAACATGCAGTATATTGCGACATGTAATATATTATGTTGCATGTACACGTGACTTCAGATATGGGAATCATATAATTCCATAACAACGAAAGCATCTTGAACTCAGAGTAAGGCACCGCATATTCGAGAAAAAAAAATCTATTCCTCTCGCTCTGTAGAAGTGTGAGAGCGCGGTTATTCGTCACTGCTATCGTGGCCTTGAGCTGACTCTGTGTTCTTGGGGACCAGACGTCTGCTTCGCTTTGCGGGCCTACTGAGAGGATTCCAGGACGGAGGAAAAAGTCAGAAAGTTACATTCTTTGCATCTATGAGGTGGTGAAGTCTGAAAACCACGTGACGGCTGTTTTGCACACACACACACACACACGTGTGTGTGTGTGTGTGTAATATACATGTGTATATATATATATATATATATATATATATATATATATATATATATATATATATACATATATATATACACACATTCACCATTCATGCATTCTAGGCTTTAAAATAGGAGCCATTTTGTGTGGCTCGTCAGATGTGGAGAAACTTGTGGCTTGTGTGTTCCGCTGTCTCACTCTCGCGTCTTACTCGAGGAAACGCCTCTGATGTTAAGATCTGCTGAGATAGTGAGGGTCCACGTTTCCTCGCTGACGATGTATCATGAACTTCCTTGGATCCAGATTTAGTATTAACTACTAATGTCAGAAAGTAAATGCTGAGCGTGACAAATGACAGAGAGGGAGAGAGGGGAGGGGGAGTGGGAGGGAGGGAGAGGGAGAGAGAGAGAGAGAGGGGGGGGGAGAAAGAGAGAGATAGGGGGGGAGACAGACAGAGAGAGAGAGAGAGAGAGAGAGAGAGAGAGAGAGAGAGAGAGAGAGAGAGAGAGAGGGGGGGGGGAGGGAGGGGAAGAGAGAGAAGGGGAGAGAGAGACATAGAAGGAGAGGGAGAGAGAGAAATAGGAGTAGAGGGAGAGAAATAGAAGAAAAGAGAGAGAGATATAAGAAGAGAGAGAAATATAGAAGAAGAGAGAGAGAGAGAGAAGAGAGGGGAGAGAGAGGTTGGGTAGAGAGAGAGAGAGGGGGGGCGGAGGGGGGGGGGGCGAGAGAGAGAGATATAAGGAGATAGAAGATAGAAGGAGAGGGAGCTAGAAGGAGAGAGAGAGACAGAAGGTGAGAGAAAGATAGAAGGAGAAAGAAAGAGAGAGAGAGAGAGAGATAGAAAGATAGGGAGAGAGATAGAAAGATAGGGAGAGAGAGATAGAAAGATAGGGAGAGAGAGATAGAAGGAGAGGGAGAGAGAGAGACAGAAGAAGAGAGAGAGAGAGAGGAAGAGAGAGAGATAGAAGAAGAGAGAGAGATAGAGGGAGAGAGAGAGAGAGAGAGAAGGGGGGGGGGGAGGAGAGAGAGAGAGAGAAACAGAGACACACAGAGCCGAGGGACAGTGACAGAGGGAAAGCGAGGCGGCAGGTCAGGCACAGAATGAAACAGGGAGGCAGAGGAGAGAGTGCAAAAGGCCAACACGATACCTGCTCTTGACACCCATTGGAAAGAAACCCTGATTTTTCCATTCCTCAAGTCCTTCTCCCTGAATCTATATACTGCACGAAGGAGAAATTTCTCTTAACATATACCGTAATCGATTTTTTCTCTCCTTTAACTTTCTTTATCAGCCTTATCCATTATTACCCTTTTCGTAGCTGCAGTCGGTTATTATTGAAACTTATTTCTATTTTTATCATTAACTAATAATGATAACTACAACAACACAAAACACCGCCGTCACACCACATGGTTGAACTCAACACCAGCTTGTGGAACCACGTGTCCTGTGGGGAACGGGGGGGGGGGGGGGAGACAGGGAGGAAGGGAAGGAGAGAAGAGAGGGAGGAAGGGAAAGAGGGAAGAGAGGGAGGGAGGGAATGAGAGAAGAGAGGGAGGAAGGGAAAGAGGGAGGAAGAGAAGTGAGGGAGGAAGGGAATGAGGGAGGAAGGGAGGAAGGGAAGGAGGGAAGAGAGGGAGGAAGAGAAGTGAGGGAGGAAGGGAATGAGGGAAGAGAGGGAGGGAGGGAGGAAGGGAAGGAGGGAAGAGAGGGAGGAAGGGAATGAGGGAAGAGAGGGAGGAAGGGAAAGAGGGAAGAGAGGGAGGACGGGAATGAGGCAAGAGAGGGGTAGGAAGGGAATGGGGGATGAGAGGGAGGAAGGGAAGGAGGGAAGAGAGCGAAGAAGGGAGGGAGGGAAGAGAGGGAGGACGGAAATAAGGAAAAAGAGAGAGAGAGAGAGAGAGAGAGAGAGAGAGAGAGAGAGAGAGAGAGAGAGAGAGAGAGAGAGAGAGAGAGAGAGAGAGAGAGAGAGAGAGAGAGAGAGGGAGAGAGAGAGAGAGAGAGGAAAGTTGTAAAGTCAGGGAGAAAGAGGGAAATTGTAAGGGTCAGGGAGATCTGGGGAGACAAGGAACCACACGGAAGCCAGGGCAGTCATAGGACAACGAGCTTTAGAAAAAACATATATATAATTATATTGATCATACAAGAAATCAGACAGATAATGATGGTGATGTTGAATTTTATAATAATAATCATAACATGATAATGATGATGATGGTGATGATTATGATGATGATGGTAATGATGATTATAATAATATCAACAAAATAATAATGATAATAATAATAATAATAACAATAACAATAAGAACAATAATTATTGATGATAATAATAACTATTATCAATATCATTATGATGATGATTATAATGATAATTATTATTATTAAAATTGTGATGATAATAATGATTATACCAATAATACTGATGATAAAAAATTATAATCTTTTGTTATTCATTTATAACAATAACACTAGTAACGACAACGATGGGAACAACACTAAAGCAAGAACACTATTCTTAATGAAAGCGACAAAGAAAACGGCCGCAACTTAGAAGACAAGAGTCCACCCCCGTAACCCGAGCCTCGCTCTGTGCCAATTTCACAAACATATCACTGACTTCTCATCACAAGGGACACGAAGCAGAAGCAGAAGCAGAAAGAAGCCTGAGTCAATTCTATTTTGGAACTGGTCAGGCGAGTGTGTGAGAGCAGGAGGAGGAGGAGGCGGAGGGACCAGACTTTTCACCGCAGGGAACTTCAATGCACACAGCGAGACGTGTTGGCAACATGTTACGGGCGGTTACACTCGTAAACTATACACGAAGGCTGGACCGATGTGCGCTTTATTTTTGTGGCTCTGTGTGTGTGTGTGTGTGTGTGTGTGTGTGTGTGTGTGTGTGTGTGTGTGTGTGTGTGTGTGTGTGTGTGTGTGTGTGTGTGTGTGTGTGTTCGTGTGTGTAATTATTTTGCTTATCGCCGTGGTGTAAATTTATGCGGTTGTTGTTACCGTTATTTTGATTGTCACTCCTATTATAGATATCATCGTTATTATTATGATAATCACTATTCATTGTCATTATTGGTTAATAGGAATAATGATAATCATTATTAAGCCATCATCTTTGGTTAATATTACTATCCTTATTACAACCTTCCGCTTTTCCTCATTTTCCCCCTTTTCATCCACCCCCTTTCTCGATCTATTTACCCCATTAACCTCCCCCCCCCTGTCACCCTCCCTCTCTCTCTCCATCTATCTACCCACTTATCCATCACGCTCCCTACTACCCCTTTCCATTTCTCTTTGTCTAATTACCCACCTACCCATCACCCCTTATCCCTCCCCAATTCAACTAACCCCCCCCCCTTATCTCTATCTACCCAACTATCCATCACCCTCCCCCCCTTCGTCTTTATCTATCCTATTTGTTTCACCTTGCCTATAGCTACCCGCTCCCCCCCCCCTCCCACCTGACCCCAGTACCTCTTGCCTCGCGGATGAGTCAGCGGCGCCCGCAGTCCGCCCGTCTGATGCGCGGGACAGATCCTCGCACAGGAAGAGAGGCCGACACTCGAGTCCAGTTTCCTCTTGTACACTTTTCATTCGTTTATCATTTATTTAATATTTCAACGCATCGTCTCCTGGGATCTATAATCGTGCAATCCTTATTATTTGAGCAGTTTAGCTGATGGAATGGGACCAAAAAAAGAGAGAGAGAGAAATAACTTCGTTTAGCATCTGTTTATTCCTTAATGGGCAGCGATGAGTCAGCCCGGTGCGTCGGCTTGTCACCTGTAGCGCCCGGTCGTGCTCGCCGCCACAGCTGCAGGTGGACTATTAACGCGAATGAGTAATTCTCTTTCGGCATCACTTACTCGGGGTTGTTTTGAATGCACTGTCAAGGCAGGAGGTTAGTGTCATGTGTGGCTTTATTCTGATGCCTGGCCTCGGGTGATTTGTGTGTGTGTGTGTGTAATGTATATGTATATTATTATACATACACATGCACACACACACACACACACACACACACACACACACACATATATGTATATATATATATATATATATATATATATATATATATATATATATATATATATATATATATATATATATATATATATATATATATATATATATATATATATATATATATATATATATATATATATATATATATGTATATATATATATATGTATATATATATATATATATATATATATATATATATATATATAATTTACATATTTACATATAAATACATATATACATACATATACTTGTAAATATATATATATATTTACATATTTACATATAAATACATATATACATACATATACTTGTAAATATATATATATATATATATATATATATATATATATATACTGTGTGTGTGAGTGAATACATAAATAAACACACACACATATTTGTGTATTTGTATGCATATGCATGTGTGTGTGTGTGCGTGCGTGCGTGCGTGCGTGCGTGCGTGCGTGCGTGCGTGCGTGTGTGTGTGTGTTTGTGTGTGTGTGTGAGTGATGCACGTCTGTTAGACTGTGCGTTATGTAAGCGTGAGGGTGTATATGTTATTCCGTGTATTAAATTTCCATGTAAACGCCATGGCCTCCTGGAAGCCTAAAAACAAAACCTAACTTCACACTTCCGAGTGAAAGCGGAAAACATTAGTGAAAGCCACTCATTACAATGATCATAGATTTCGCAACACGAAATCGTTGTACTAATACGAATTAATGTTTCCGAATAGATATTTACCAGCAAAATACGACCCATCATTATATATATATAAACAGCAATACTGATTATTATATTAAGACTACCACCTAAGCATAACTGTTTGTTGGCGAATTATAATGCAACGATGACCATTATGATCAGCATGTGGAGAACGAGAGAAATTGATGTTATATTATTATTATTATTTGATAAGAGAGATAAGAAAAAACATAGTTTTTAAATGTCATCATCGTGAGTGATGTTTTGCTATTAACCTTATATATGTGTGTGTGTGTATATATATATATATATATATATATATATATATATATATATATATATATATATATATATATATATATATATATAATTTTAATACCTTAATTTTAATCTCGTCTCAGAGAGAATGTAAGAGTAAACACGGGAAGGGTAAACGATGATGCGTAATTTGCAAAATTATATACTCCAGAGTGATGTGTACCTTTGCATAAACTCAATTTATATGTTGTTTTATAATTCAGTGTTGTGCTATAATCCCTCTAGTTTCTTCTATATCAGTCGCTCATTTCCCTACATGTGTTTATATGGCATTCTCATTACCCTTACCTTCCGCTCAGGGTTGACGGCAATGGAATCGGCGGTGAAGGATCTCCGAATCATGACCGGCGTTCTTCTTGCTCTGGTTCTCCTGCTGATCCTAGTGGTGCTGCTGATACTCCTCAACATGACCAAGAACATGCCCAAGCTCACCCTACCCGTGTTCTTCAGGAATGACAAGAAGGGCGCTGCCAACATGAACGACAAAAATTCCACGCACAAAACCAGCAACGGTGTAGCCAACCCCAACGTAGCGGTGGGCAGGATTGCCAATCACCAGGTGCGTCTTTCTTGTGTAGTTCATGTGTTCCTGAAGACATAGTGTCCGTGATTCTCGGAGCACGGCACTTGTGGACCCCAGTGGCCCAGATGAATGTTATGGGGTATTCCAAAACTATGTTAATTAGCTCAGGTAGAGTTTGGATTAATTTCTCGCGTCATCAGTCCCCACTTCATATTCTTTTGCTAATCGTTATCAGATTGCCCTATGGATTAAAGGATTATAGATAAATTTCAGTTTTGTCAGTATCAATACACACGCCCGAGCGTGTGTGCGTGCATGATTACGGCAGTCAGATACGAATAACCTCCAATGCCTTCCAGACCAGCAGCAGTCCGAAGACCAGGAAAGCGTCCTTCAGAAAATCGACCTACGGGCCCACCGAGGACACGGTCGGGCAGTACGATCCACGTTCCTTCAGGGTCCGACAGCCCTCCGAGTCCACTTGTCCTGACGAAGGCGCCGATATCTCCCAGCAAGGATACGACAATCTAGGCCTATCCACCTCCACCATCCACACCTCTAACCTGCACAACACTTCCAATTCCTCCACGGACACTCTGGGCCCGATAGTCTCCACCAACACCCTGGATACGACACTCGCATCGGAGAATAACATTCCCTCAGTCGTTAATAACACGACAGTTTAAGATTTTTAATGTCTTCAAGTCTATTTTGAACTAGCTGCTTACCCTTCTGTTGTGTTCCCTTCAGTGCTCTCTGTTCCTTTTATATTTGTAGTTCTCTTGGTAATGGAAAGATTATCTAATTTACCTGAAAATGCTACGTGTAACTACGGAAGCCTGCCCAAAGCTGATCTTTCTCCTTTTCGTTGATGTGTTATTTTCTTCTCTTTAGTCCTTATATATATATATATATATATATA